ATGTATCAGGTGGAATATTGAGTTATTTCCACACTTGCCCTATCCAAAATCTCGAGTTCCTCTTGAAATTTACCTGGTAAAGTTTAGAAGGTTGATCACGAAAATTATATCCTTTTCTGTATGTGATGACGTCAGACTACATATTAAAGCTTAAACATTTTTGTAATCCAAAACTCCCTCCAGCGCACTGTGTTTTCATGTCTTCAGTTTTGAACACTTTTACAGTGAAAATTTGTTCCCTCTTTTTCTCGGAAGATATATATTCAGGTTGTTGTTCCTCAAGACGTTATGAAAATTGTTCCCTCTTTTTCTCGGAAGATATATATTCAGGTTGTTGTTCCTCAAGACGTTATGAATAGCAACAGTGATTTTTACGTTGTAATAGACGACGATGCAACTCTAGATAGAGAATCTCAGGTAAGCACAGCTTGCAGTTTTAAGAGGCAAATATTGTCCAAATTTTTCTGTTTTAGCAATTCAAATGTTCGGAAAATCGGAACATGAATCAGCTTGACCATGATCAAGAACTGCCAATGCATCAAGATTCAAATCTGACATCTTCTCATCTTTTAGAAGAAGTACTAGAAGAAGAACCAGTAGATGAGGTTTGTATACGTTCATATACCATTCAGTTTTTTTCTTAATCAAACGGTTTAATTCAGTGTGAGGGACAAGTGATTGCAATTACGGAGGAGCAATATGAACAACTGCGACTTCAGTACGGCGACAACTTGGAAAATATGGTATGCGTAGGTTTTTTCCTTCACATCCCCGGTAGGACAGAGATTTTTTGGCGTTTAACAGTTCCACCTAACGGAGTTTAGGAAAAACAATCAACAAATCATACTCAGCAGAACTCATGTTGAGAGTTACTGCAAAATCACTTTTTTGGAAAAACATGTTTTTTGAACTCTTCATCTTAAAGGGATCTATGGAACCTTAATATGAGCAAAGCGTCAATTTTGGTCAATTCAGAGCGTTGTTTATGTGGATGACTCCGATGTTGGGAAGAATGAAATGGTTGGTGACGTCAATGATCCAACTGTACACGCTACCTCTGTTTTGCAGAGCTGACGAAGTTCGAAATTCTATGTGCTTCTAA